TCTGAAGATGCCGGCCACAGAGACTGGCGAAACGTTAGGAAGAACAACCTTCAGAACACGGCCTAAGAGCCCGAAAAACCCACAACAACCATCAGATCCCGGCCGTGAAAGCCTTCGGGAATACATTTTTGGGATCTCTTGGTGTGGCTGAAGCTGCACAATGCCCAAGATGGCCCTGGACATGATTCACATAATATCTCTTGGGAATCTGGTTGTCCTGAGAAGATGGAACATCATACTCCTTGTGTAGTCTGAATACACCATTAGAAAAATAAAAGCACTGCAACATTACTAGCAACTTTACCTTAAGTAAGATTCATCAAAATTGGTCCGGATGGACACTGCCATTAGCAAATTAGGATCCCAGTGGCTGATCTCTAAGAGTATAAATTGCTCCATCATGTTTTTTTTTCCTGATGGAGTCACTGCTGCAGGATTTCTTTTACTGCTGAGTCTTGGGATTCTTCAGATGGTAGAGTGAGTGTGGCCTTTAGCATTCCACATTTTGGAATTCATAAAGGGCTCAGATTGTCCAGCTGGATGCTTTTAATGACAGCAGTATCAATGAGTATTCTTTTAGCATTTGAATGGGCCAAGGATGTATGTCCAGCTATTTTGTCAGACTCTCTTTCAGGTCTTTTAGCTGGAAGGAAAGCTTGTACTAGTAGAATGATCAATGGAATCTGGTCACAGAACAAGAGACACCATTTTATGGGGCTTTATTTTGGTGCACCTTACCTCTTGCTGGCATAAAGGTAAATAAACTGTTTGATTCGAGTGTGAAAAATACATCCTAGCACTCCAACACTAATATTTCTTTGTCCTCATCCCAAAGTACAAATAAATGCTATTTTGGGAAAGAAAGAAGATGTGGGTGACAGAAGCATTGAGATAAGATTGGCTCTAGAGGGTTTTCCACCCCCACCCCCTTTTGTCATGCTCTGCAAGAGTTCCACCTTTTCTTCAAGATAGTTATACGTTCCATTGATTCAAATGGGCCCACCTAAGTGCAATTTATTTTAGTATAGCAAATCACAGTTAGGGTAGGACTATTTAAATCAGTGGAACATTACAGAAGAATTGATTCACTAAAACCCTATTGATTCAAT